AGGAGAGGACATGGGACACTGTGGACAGGAGCTCTGAGAACTTCTTTGCCTACTGGCCATTTCCCTTTTCCCCCCAGCTCCTATCTTTTGGTTTCTTTAAAATGAACTAATTATTGTACACATGTGTGTGCATGTGTGTGTGCGTGATGCGTCTGTGTGTACGTGTGTGTGCATGTCATGGCACATATATGGAGTTCAGAGAAAAGCTCTGTGGAGTCAGTTCTCTCTTCGCACCTTTGTGTGAGTCCAGAGGTGGACCTGAGGTAGCGCGGCTTGAGAGACAAGCACCTTTGCTAGATGGGCCGGCCAGCCTGCCCTTCCTTTGCTTAACCGTCCTTGTGGTCCAGAGACGCGCTCTAATGCCAAGTGTCGGCATCTAGAAGCTGGTGCCTGCCTGGTGTTTCATGCAGCCCTTCAGTGTGTTCCAGAGAAGCCAGCCCCTGGGTCTTAAGGTGATTAGGAGCTTGCTTGTGTCCAAGGACATCTGTCCTTGGCTGAGATGAAGCAAGGTCATGCCTGAGCTACAGAGAAAAGCCTGCCAGAGGTCACCGAGACCCTCCTGTGCGCCAGATCAAACACGGCAGTGGCGAATCCCTGGGAGACCACGGGCGGGCGCGGTTCTGGAAGTGCTGCGGGTGGGATGGGCAGCCCAGGGCCATCCGACACTGTGACTTTAGGTAAACAGTTTTAACTGTGCAGTGCCAGGGTGACTCCAGTTCATAAAAGGGGACAGGTAACCTCACTTCCGCCAGTTTCCTGCAGGCAGTATGTAAATTGAGCTAACACAGGTGGCCTGGATATTTTGCAAAACAAATAATATCCTGCAGGAGGCAAGAGCTGAAAGTGAGATTTTTACCAACACTGTGCCTGAGGTCTGTGGACAACCCTTTTGCACCTGGACTCCTGGTGTCTGGCCCGGTGCCTGGGGCACAGTGGGTGCTGGGTAAACATAGGCACAGGTGAACCAGGAGTCAAACCTGGGCTCTTCCATGGCCTTTGTTCTGACCCTCCTATGCTATGTCACTGCTCACTTACGACCCTCATTAGAGGGCAGTGGCGTTGGTCTCGGGTACTCTCATATATCCCGGCACTCTGTGGGGCATACAGTAGGTGCTCAATAAAAGCTCTGAACGTAACCTTTTATATTATGTTTCCTATTATGGATATTTCCCCACAATTGAAAACAAGTGACACCTGTCTCCCTTCCAGGCCTGGGAATCAGCATTTGAAACGGAAGAAAGTCTTGCAGCTAAAGGTTACAAGCTGCCATCTGGGGTGGTAAGCCGCGGGGGATTTTTGCGTGATTTCGTGGTTGTTGTTTATGTGGGACAGAGTCTGTGTGGCCCAGGCTGGTTTCAAACCTGCTGTGTAGCTGACAAAATGTTTGCAGAAAAAGGTCTGGATATAAGCTAATGATATAAGAATCAAACTGAGTCCCCTCTAAGGGAGACATTTGGGTTAACAATGACTTTATAGTTTGAAAATTAAGTGCTTTGCAATCGTGTTTCTTCATTTTCTTTTGGATCATGTTAGAAGAGAGGGCAGCTTTACATTATAAAGCTAATGCTGGGACAATTCATGTAACAAATATTTATTGACTGCTTATTTTATAATAACAAATATTATTGACTGCTTCTAGATCAGAACCATGCATTACAATACAAATCAAGGCACACATGCAAACCACATATGTAATTTAAAAAATTATAGCGTCATGTGAAAGTTTTAAAAATCAGTGAAATTAATCTGAACAAGGTATTTTATTAACCCAGTATATCTAGAACATTATTTCAGTGTATAATTATTGCTCTATGTTGCTTAAGCACAGGGGACACATTCTGGGAAATGTGTTGCTAGGCAATTTCGTTGTGTGACCATCAGAGTGTACTTACACAAACCTAGATGGCATAGCCTGCTAAACACTGAGGCCTCATGGAATGCGGCATCCGCACGCGCCAATCTAGTTTCCGCTGAAAGGGCATGAAGCAGCCTGGGGGCTGTAACCCAAAATTATCAACATGGCATTTATTTATTTATTTATTTATTTATTTATTTATTTATTTATTTATTTATTATTTACTCACTCATTAGAGTATGTATGGGAGAGTGTGTGCCACGGTGCACAGGAGGATAGCAGAGACAACTTTTGGAAGTCCGTTCTCTCCTTCCCTACTCAGGCCCTGGGGATTGAACTCAGATTGCCAGGCTTGTGAGATTGCCAGCACCTTTACTCAGTGAGACATCTCACTGGCTCTGGGGGACGTTGGTTTTTTTGTTTGTTTGGTTTTGGTTTTGGTTTTGGTATTAATTCTTTAAGAAAGTCTACATTTTGCTTCCAGTTATGAAGAATTTTGCAGGGTGTAGATTTCTAGGCTAGCTGGCTTCTTAAGCACTTTATTCCATTCTGCTGTGGATGACTGATCGATAAATAAAGTGCTGATTGGCCAGTAGCCAGGCAGGAAGTGTAAGCGGGACAAGGAGAGAGGAGAATTCTGGGAAGTGGAAGACTGAGGCAGGAGAGGTGCCGCCAGCCGCCGCCATGAGAAGCAGATGTTAAGAGACTGGTAAGCCACGAGCCACGTGGCAACTTATAGAGTAATAGAAATGGGTTAATTTAAGATATAAGAACAGTTAGCAAGAAGCCTGCCATGGCCATACAGTTTATAAGCAATATAAGTCTCTGTGTGTTTACTTGGTTGGGTCTGAGCGGCTGGGACTGGTAGGTGACAGAGATTTGTCCTGACCGTGGGCCAGGCAGGAAAACTCTAGCTACACCACTCTCATGTGTTTTCTGAGGTGTTAATATAAGGCTTATCTTTGCTTTTTAAATTTAAAAAAATGATTTATTTTTATATTACGTGTTTTAGTTAGGGTTTCTATTGCTGTCAAGAGACATCATGGCCACAGCAACTCTTATAAAGGAAAACATTTAATGGGGGGCTTACAGTTTCAGAGGTTCAGTCCATTATCATCATGGCAGGACATGGCGGCATGTGGGTGGACATGGCACTGGAGCTGAGAGTCCTTACATCTTGACTCATAGGCAAAAGTAAGTGGTCTGAGACACTGGGCATGGCTTGAGTATACTGAGAATCTCAAAGCCCACCTCCTCAATGACACACTTCCTCCAATAAGACCACACCTACTCCAACAAGGCCACACCTCCTAATAGTGCCATTTTCTTTTAAACCACCAAACATATACTGGTATTTTACCTGCATATATGTCTGTGTGAGGGTGTCAGATTCCCTGGAACTGCAGTTATAGACAGTGCTAAACTGCCACCATGGGAATTGAACCCAGGTCCTCTAGAAGAACAGTCAGTGCTTTTAACCACTGAGCCATTTTTCCAGCCTCTGCTTTTTTGTTTGTTTGTTTTTGTTTTTGTTTTTCGAGACAGGGTTTCTCTGTGTAGCTTTGGAGCCTTTCCTGGAACTCACTTGGTAGCCCAGGCTGGCCTCGAATTCACAGAGATCGGCCTGGCTCTGCCTCACGAGTGCTGGGATCAAAGGCGTGCGCCACCACTGCCCAGCTGCTTTTTAAATTTTTAAAGACAGATTTATGTGTATGAATGTTTTGCCTACATGTATCTATGTATACTACATACATGACATGCCCATGGTAGCCTGAATTGGAGCCAGAATTGCAGACAAGGGTGCTGGGGACCGAGCCTGGGTCCTTTGAAAGAGCAGAGCTACCCCAAGGGCTCTTCTGTTGTTGTGGCACATGTGTTAGAGCTTTGGTACCCAGGGGCCACACTCTTGGGAAGTGAAGCCTTCAGGCAGTGGGACCTAGGGAGGTCTTCAGGCCACTCTGTGTGCGCATGCTCTTGAAGGAAAATGCTGAGTACTAGCCCCTTCTTTCTCCCTCTGCTTCTTGGCTCCAAAGGTGATCAGTTTGCTCTCCCACACTTCTGCAGCACACTTTCACCAGAGGCCAAAAGTAACTCACTCAACCTTAGACCACAACCTCCGGAGCCAGGAGCCAAAACAAAGCTTCCTTATAGGGATGGAAGCTGGCTCACATACCCACTGTGAAGTCTGAAGGTGGAGACCTTATCTGGGGAGGGGACGGGTCAGGGTATGCAGGAGTCTCTGCCACCTTCACAGCCAGCAGAGTGACTAGCCTCGGGAGGTCGGTTCAAGACAACTCAGTAGCCGGTATTGTTTGTAACTTCTGGAGTCTGACCCCCAGTGGTTTATTTTGTAGACATATTTAAGCACAGCACAATTTGGTGAAACATTGTCTGGTGATGATTAACTCAATCCTGCATGCCTCAAAGCATACATGAATCTCCTTGAGGAACAAAGTAAGCTAAATATGGATCAGCCATGACTACATGGAAACTCTTTGTAAAGTCCATAAAGACAGGCTCCAAAGATTGAGATAAACAAACTTCCCACAGGGGTCTAGGGAGGGTCTGGTGCAGAAAATGTCTCTAGTCACTCAGATAGTATAAAGGTCACCAGGCTAGAAAACATGTCAGCCCCAGGCTTCTGGGTGGATGACAGGCATTGCCTTCCTTCCCTTGGAGGAACAACCTTGTGTGCCAACCTTCCAGGCTCCCCTAGTGCCCATCACAAGCACAAAGACCTCTGTGACTCCTACAATGGTATGTGTGAATATGGCCCAAGAACAGTATACATGTATGAAAACGTCATACTAAACCCCATTGTTTCTTTTTGAAATTTTTTTATTTTATGTGCATGAGTGTGTGCCTCCATGTATGTCTGTGCACCACATGTATGTTTGGCCTCTGCAGAAGCCAGAAGAGGAGGTCAGATCCCTTGGAACTGGAGTTACAAAAGGTTGTGGGCTGCCACATGAAGCTGGGAATTGAACCTGGGTTCTCTTCAAGAGCAGCCAGTGCTCTTAACCACGGAGCCATCTCTCCAGCCGCCAATTGTTTTTTTATGCTAAGTAAAAACACTAACTTAAAAATCCACAAAAAAGTTGGAAAGCTAATCTAACCCTATTGTTTAAAGAGGGTCTTTGGAAGGGAAGAGGCCTAAATAAGGATATCAAAATGAAGACCCATGATTGCATCCTCGTGGACTTACAAAAAGGAGTGAGATCAAAACACACACACACACACACACACACACACCACACACACACACACACACACACACACACACACACACGCACGCGCGCACACACATGCTACCTATCCCTTTTCATGTGATGCCATGTCCTGCTTCAGGATGGTCTGCCAGCAAGCAGACCATCACCAGATATAGGCCCTTGAACCTAAGAACATGTTCTACACAATAAGCTTTCTACCTGTGTGTTTATGTGTGCTCAGCATGGACATCCACTGCCCTTGTTGCTCTAAGCTTGTTTTCTTAATAAAGTTGCCCAGTCTCATACATTTTTGTTATAGTATTGACAAGTAAATGAAGGAAGTTTCTATTGCTGTGATGAAACACCATGATCAAAAAGCAAGTTGGGGAGATAAGGGTTTATTTGGCTTACACATTCGTTTTGCTGTTCATTACTGAAGGAAGTCAGAACAGGAGCTCAAGCAGGGCGGGAACCTGGAGGCAGGAGCCAATGCAGAGGCCATGGAGGGGTGCTGCTTACTGGCTTGCTCCTCATGGCTTGCTCAGCCTGCTTTCTTATAGAACCCAGGCCCACCAGCCTAGGGATGGCACCACCCACCATGGGCTGGGCCCTCCCCTGTTAATCACTAAGAAAATATCTTACAGCTGGATCTTACTGAGGTGTTTCCTCAATATAGGTTCCCTCCTTTCAGATGATTCTAGCTTGGGTCAAGTTGACATAAAACTAACCAGGATAGGAAGTATAAATTTAATATAAAAAACGTGCTATTTTTCTTTTTTTGTATCAAGTATTTGATTTAGTGGGTATTTACCACATACAACATGTATTGATTAGAAATAGTCACCTTCTCATTAGTCACAAGTGGCTTGTGGCTTCTCTATTGGAGAGTGTAGTTCTAAATAGGAGATTGTTTGCCTGAGAATTAAGTGATTAACTTTGCCTTGGGCATAAATCACCTTCCACCCGAGGTTAATTAACTTTTTCACATTCTCAGCAATGTAATCCAAATACCCCAGGAGAGTTTTCTCCACTTATCCCATCCCCCAGTTCCACGGGTGTTATAAAGCACACAGTAAGCGTTTGCTTCATGCTTATTAGCAGGTCCTCATTACCCAGAATACTTGATATTTAAGTTGGGGACCATTTCCCTCAAGACCTTGAGTTTATTTTCTGTTGTTATTAAATTACTTAGGCAATTTTGGACATGGGGTTTGCCCAGATTTTTTTTTCTGCTTCCATAGGTTCAGTTGGCTACTCCAGCCTCCCCATTTTGTCCCTAATAGCAGGTGGATGTCAACCAGGATGGCCGAGACTTCTCAGTTTTCCAATTTAGTGACATACCTTCTCAAAGAAGTGAGCCAAATAAGACTCAAACCCAGGTCACACTTGGGCTTTTTAAATCCTTAGACCAAGGAGCTTAAGTTGCTTTCTGCTCGAACCTACTTTTTTATTTATTAAAGACTGGTTTATTTAATTTAATTTATGTGTATGAGTGTATTATGCATGTACACATGTATGTGCCTGGTGCCCACACATGCCAGAAGGGAACACTGGGTCCCCTGGAACCGGAGTTATAGATAGTTGTGAACCATTATATGGGTGCTGGGAATCAAACCCAGATCCTCTTGAAGAGCAGCAAGTGTTCTTAACCACTGAGCCATCTTCTCTAGGCCCCCTGCCTACTCTAGACCAGGAAGAAGGTGGCAGTGATATTGTCTTACCCGGGATTGATGGTGCTTGTGGTAGAATTCAGTCATGTTGAAGTCATCCAGGTCTACCAGCAGGCCTTGCTTACACATCTCACAGGTCTTCACAGTACCTAGATCTGCTCCTGGAATCAAAAGTAAGAATCATATGTAAGAAAGTATAGTTCAGAAGTTCTCTACACACACACACACACACACACACACACACACACACACACACACACACACATTTTTTAAAAGTCATGTATTTTGTGTATTTGAGTGCTCTGTCTTTATGCATCCCAGAAGAGAGAATCAGATCCTATTACAGATGGTTGTGAGCTACCATGTGGTTGCTGGGAATTGAACTCAGGACCTCTGGAAAAGTAGCCAAGTGCTCTTACCACTGAGCCATCTCTCCAACTATCTCTCTGCGCCCCTCCCCCCGCCTACTTTTGTTATATACAACTCTGAGTCTGCGCTGGTACTTTGGACAGGAGATATTTTGAGACTGAACTTGTGTGTGTTATGAATTCCAAGCTTCAGTGATTTTTTTCCTAGTCAGTCATCTTCTGGAGAAAATGACCTTGAATCTGAGCTCTGAACATCTTTTTCCCTTTGTGGTCATTTATTATTTGAGCTTCAGGCAGGTGAAATCTCCATGGCTTTCAAATGACAGGTCTTGTTTCTATCTAAATATGTAAACATAATGGGTCATAAAATTGGAATTGCTACCCGGAAAGAAGTCTCTCTCTAACACAGACCTTTGCAGGAGGAGTGACTGTTGGACCTATGGTCTCCCTCATCCCTTGCAGACCTAACAGTTCTGCAATAAATAAACCAGTACCAAATCCACAGAAGATGCTATCCTCAGCCAATGGCTCTGGCCACTAGATCTCCCTTTGCTCCCACCCGAGGAAAGGGAGAGAGGCTCCCGTGTGGAGCCCAGGCACAGCAGTGTCTGGGTTCAGAGCCTTTGGGGAGAGGAATAGAAGGCTCCCTGTGCTGCTGTCCTTACGAAAACCTGAGCGTGTTTGCTCTGCCTGTGCCCAGTTTGTCCTGCTTCCCCAAGGCAAAAGCAGGAGCTGCAGAACCATGGTTGTTCTGTGGAAATCACACACACACACACACACACACACACACACACACACACACACACACACACTCTATAGCTGCAGCATCTAGCTAATGTTTCTTACTAGGAAACATATCGGTTACCTGCATCTAGTTAATGACCAGAACTTTGCAGGCTCATACCCCAGGTCTCGCTTTCTAGTGTGGATATGAAGAAATAGTAAATCACAGAGACTGTTAAAGGCAGGGTGAACAGTTCATTGCCCCTTCTGCAGTGTGTTTGCCTCCATCCTCTCCCTCCCTCCCTCTCTCTCTCTTTACATCATCAGCAATGGTATTGGTGACTGGACATGTGTCTTCCATTCTAATCCTGCTGAACATATTCAAGCTCCCAAAATAGCATCGTGTTTAACTTGTTTCTTTTTCCTTTCTTTTTGGCCTGTGCTAAATGTTTAATTGGCTTGAATTTCTAGTAAGAGAAAGCCTTGGCATGGCTGTTGTGGAATTTGATCCTCTAAGCGACAAGGCCACATGGTCAGCAGATCAGCTGGGCCTGCTTGCTGAGAGTCCATCACCATAGCCAGGCCCTCCTCCCAACCATGTGTATGCAGTTCTGCCCCAACTGCATGTGGCTTGAGGGGCTAGAGAGGTCCTAGAGTATCCAGGTCGGGGGAGGGAAATTGAAGAGGGGTTCCATTTATGTGACTATGGGTGGAGACTTTCCAGAGCAGCTGCTTTGGGGTCCCCCCACGATCCTGCAAATAACTCCTTCATGCTCTGTGACTAGGCCCAATAAACTCATTGGTTCTCCAGGTTAAGCTTTGGTGGAATCATACTTTGTCATTGGGGACTTACGAAGAGGTAGACATTGTTTGCATCTCCCCAGGGAAGGAGTAGGCTCAGCTGTGGCAGAGTCGTTAGCAACCAGTGTACTCTCCCCCAATTTGGATTGAGTTCTTTGCTTGTGGATATGGATTTATGCATTTGGGGATTGATTCTGTATTTCTCGTGGGAGGAAAGACACACCCGTGGAGAGACAGAGAGTCAGTTAATATGATTACCCTGATGACATGCTATGGTGAGGGCACACGGGTGCAGCCCATGGGGGCAGGGTAAAGCTCTAGATCTGCTAAGGAGTACCAGTTCCAGGGAGGGTGGGCTGAAAGACACAGTGGCCATTTTCTACTGGACCGCTATGATGAAGCCCTTTTCAGCTGACCTCCCCCAGCCTAGATAGTCTAGCTCCTCCCTCATTGTGAAAGGCACGCTTTACTCGCCGCCAAGAACATTGTAGGCAACCTCCCATGTGTCTGTATTTAGGTTGTCACTTCCTGGGAGAACTGAGAGGGGGCTTCACGCCCAGCTATGAGATCAGTCTGACAAAGCCGCCGCATTCGAAGCCCTTTGATGTAATCTAGAAAATCAGAGTGACGCGCTCCTTACCCCTCTGGCAAGCAGGCAGCTTTGCTTGACCTCTTTGTACAAAAAGATTTTTATTTATGAGCATGGGTACGCACACACGTGTGTGAGGACCTACAGAGGCCAGAAGGGGGCATCACATTCCCCAGAGCCGGAGTTACAGGAGGTTGTGAGCTGCCTGATGTGGGTTAGGAACTGAACTTTGGTTCTCTGCAAGAGTAATAAGTGCTCTTAACCACCGAGTCATCTCCCTAGCCCCCACTGGGTTCTTAAGTGACAGCCCCCACCCCCACCCCCACCCTGCAAAGGAAGTAGACTTCTGTTGTATTTGTGGGGGGGGGTCTCTCATGATGGACCTTTTGGTGCTACTAACTGGACAGGGCTACCATATGTTTGCTGAGGGGTTACTGGCAGCCCACATCATCTCCTTTCCTCCTAGGAGATGAGCTTATCATCTTGTCCAAGCCTCTAGTGGGAGGAGAATTTGTTTCCAAGTTTATCTCAGATTTAAACACACACACACACACACACACACACACACACACACACACACACACAC